CTGAGGTGGGCAAACCAAATCACTCAGGATTACCTGTTGTGCATTTTCTGCAGATGGCATAGCCACCTGATTGGCATCGTTTCCTTGGGCTATTTTTTTACCTTCCATCTTAGCTCTGAGCAAATCCCTAACTGTTTCTTTTTTAGAATTCAGGTTTTTCTTAGGATGCAAAGATGGCAGTTTCCTTTCTTGAAAAACATTGATTGTCTCAATGGGCCGTTTACCTACAAAGAAGTTGGTCTCCACATTTCTGTCTGTTTTTGGTGCCCTTCTTCTCTGCTTTTTATCACATATTACACCTTCGTCTGTAGGAAGAGCTGCTTTTGATTTAGCAGTGACAGGTTTTGAAACTTTTGAATCCTTCTTAAAGGACAACACTCTAACATGCTTTGTAATTGTCTTCTTTGACATGTTGTTTCCCTCTACCATGCCACCCTGAGCAGCTGGACATGGACTGTGAAAATAACCTAAGTGTGAGTGTGCAGTGGAATCTGAACTAGGAGTAAGTAATATAGCACCGGGAGAAATGGTCTGAAAAGTTGAGTTTGTATGCAGACCTGAGCAAATTCCTGATATTTCTTGTTGTTGTTCTGTACTTTTGTCACTGGACTGTAACAGACTTGCTGTTGGTGAACTATCAGAGTTGTTATCTTTCAACAGTTCTGTACTTAATAATCCATCAGGGACATAAGCAACATTTAATGGCACTGATGGTTTGCTTGATTTGGATCTGGATGTTGAAGGTTTCAGTCCTTGATTCTTCTCTACAGAAATCTCAATTATAGGTTTCTCAGGAGATGCCATATTAATCAGAGCCTTCAAACCTGAAAAGAGAAATACAAAATATTGAGATTAAATTGTAAAACCTCTATATTTTTTGAGGGAACATATTCACTTTTTTGAATATCTAAGATTTGGTGAATATATTGAAAATACTAAGCATATTAGAAATGCACAGTGTAAGATTTTTTGAAAAACTACTGAATGAATTTTCCTGGATTAAACAATATTTTTCTCTAACTAATCAACCAATGGTCCTCCTTTGCTGAAGCACCCTCTGCGATAATCTTGCAAAATAAAAAAGTCCATCACAACTCTTAAAGGGATATAAACTCTTTCGGTGAGTTAAGTGCAAAAAAAAAAAAAAAAAAAGGTTTTCCTGGGGTCTACAACAACTTTCCCATACTTTCCTTTGGTTGATATAGTGGTTTTGTTATTCTAAAATAGAAGATTGTTTTTTAAGTTTGTTTTTCTTTTAAATAATCTCTTAAGAGAAAATTTTATCCAAAATCGTACTTTTCTAGTCAGATTTAATAAGTGAAGAATGATTTAAGACCTCCATCACTTACACTTATCCTAAGCAAAAAGTTGGAAACATTTGTTTTTACATGACTCTCGGAGATTTGGGCCCACATACATGAGAGACCAATTTAGCAACATTAAGGGTTCTTGCACCACAATGATCTAAACTTAGCTTCTGACACCTGGGCCAAGGCCAGTGACACTACTGGGACACAATATACCAATATTTTATTTTAATGGCTGGATTTCAGACTTAACAGATCAAAATAGTCTGCTAGGCAAGCTTTGCAGCTATGAAGCACCCCAAGGGCTCATTCCCAATAAAATTATCTGTCTACCTAGAATGTGGTTGTTTATGCCTTTGTGTGTAGGTGTTTGTATATCATGACTGATGTATGAACTGGGTACCTGGAGACCATTTTGTGGATGGCTTCTCTGCTTCTTTCCTGGGGGTAGAATGGCCAGCTGGTGGTACACTAGCTGCAGCTGTAGATGACCTTACCATTGTAGATGAGTGGTCAGCTCCAGGCACACTCACTGCTGCTGTGTTTGGTGGAACCTGTTTACTGTCTAGACACAAAGGCGAGGCAGTTGATGAAAATGCTACTGCTGCCATGCTTGATGCTTTGGTTGCAGGCTCTACAGACTGAATGCTGGGAATAGTGTCTGTAGAAGGTACGTTGACCACAACACATTTAAATATGCCAGAAGGCGTTTCGCTAGTGCATTTCGGTGCTATATTTCTAAAACGTGATATGTCAGGTAAAGTCCTGGACTGGACAGGTGGGGCTGGCAACAATACAGGCAACTTTGAAGCAGCTCTTTTCGTAGGTCGACCTTTACTTCTTCTCTTGTTGGCAGTCTTTTTATTTAGACCTAAAGTAGAAAATGTTTAACCATAAATACACACACACACACTAATAATAATCATAATAATAAACTAACAAAGGCACATTAAATACCCCTACTCTGAGTTTCAAGGACATACCCTATGGGTATATGAGGATCTTGAGGAGGCATGTTTGTTTGAATGGATATTCAACCAATTATGGTGACCTGAAGTGATTGCGTCTCGTGCCACCTACCTCATCTTATGAGGGCACATTGTGAGCTCAGTTCTTTTATTCAATTTTGTTTTCTGCTTTGTTTGTTTCCAAACAAAGGCAGCGTAGGCACTGATTTCTCTTTTGCATCATGTATTTTTTCACAATGTCATACCTAATTTCATAATTGATAATTTTACATTTCCATGTATAATTTTCTGCTTAGTTTCAGTTGTTTCTGAACCATATCTATTAAATTTAAAATATTTTGTGGTTATTGAATCTTAGTTTGAATAGCCCTCCACAGTCTTTGTTAGTCTTAATTCAAAAATTAAAGGAAACTTACTTGTAAATTGAAGTATGATTGTAAGTATATGAGACAATTATAGGTGAGGAGATGAAATTAGAATACACAGTGCACATCAGGTTTTCTAGCATTTTTGGATGATATTTTTTATTAAACTTCACTTTTTGATAATAATCTGCATTGCTATTATGATATTTTTTATTAAACTTCACTTTTTGATAATAATCTGCATTGCTTTTATCATAAGTTATGTAATTAAGGAAGGTGGGAGAGACTAATTACTGCCTCATAGAATTACAATCAAACTTTAACTTACAGGCAAGTTATGTTTAATTTTTGAATTCTATATAAAGCAATTATGTTGGTTCGTCATGAAATGAGACTTTCAAGATGCATACAAAGTCAATTTTTTGTCACAAAAACCAACCAAATGCCAGCATATAGTTTCAAGTAGGATAACTAAGAGAATTACCAAAAGGCGTTGTTTAATTTTACCCGAAAATAATGTTTGAACAGATTTTTCTGCTGGCATTCTAAGCTGTATGTCAATGGGGCAGGAAAGTAGGTCACGGAAGTAGGTTAAATTTACAACCATAAATTTAAAGAAAGGAGCAGTCTAAAGGTCTTTTATGGCTGATCGAGTGATCTATTCAGTTTATCACTTGGCATGTCAAATTTATTTGAGTCATATAAGAATCTAGTAGAAGTGGTTTACATGTGTTACTGGGAATCCACGCTCCACCGATGCTCGGTTCGTATGTACCTTTAAAGCACAAGTCATGCAAAATAAAACATGAAATCTTGTTTAAATTCAAACAGGAAAACTTGATTGGTTATCAAACACATATGCAATTTATAAATGAACTGATTTAAGTACTTTACTTATCCAATAGGCCAGAAAAATCAAGTTCAGCTATCTAACTAGCTGCTTGAGCAATAAGTCTGGAGCCTCTTACCAGAGGTGTACCCATTACCTGAAGCACTTTGTCCATGTGCCTGGTTTGTGGTGTGCATAACTGGCAAATCAACTTTTTGCAACAGACCAGGAGTGGGGAAGGTGAGTGCTGGGCAATTCTCTGGTCTCAAAATACTCAGTCATCATCTCAAATCAAGTCCCCTTCAATCCCAGGCAAAACAAATCATTGATGTTTGCTGCCAGGGTTTCATCCAATGGTGGACCCACTTCATCCTCACCTTTAAATTGCTTGGCCAAATCAGCAAATTTGCCCTGAGGATCCAAAGAGGCACCCTGAGCTTCAGAGATAACTTGACACTTACCTCTTCACTATAGCCTATCTTCATCGTGTCAAGTTACCTCTGACCACATTCGATTGCCCCCGCCGCCCGCCAATCAAATTTAAAGCCCGCACTCAATGACTCATTGAACGATCTAGCCAATGAACGCGAATGAGTCAAAGAGCGCTTTGTTCAAATCCGGACCAATCAAAGATAAGGCTGAATATCAGGGACTTGCCGTAACCTGTGGGCAGCACGCAAAATACATCATCCCTCAGTAGATAATGATGCAGGGCCTCAAACTGCTCTGGTTTCAATTCTGATATACTCATATTTTGCAAAGAATCAAGAGATAACTTAACACATTATTTTACGTAGTCACTCGTAGGAGACGCCATGCTTTCTTTGTGTACGGTTATGCTCTCGGAACTACTCGGATGTCTCCGCACTTGATAATAACTTTGTTGTTAGTATGGAGCTTGCGGAATCAGCCGAGGATTACCGATTGACGGTCAACCAATCAGCGTTTTCACCAAACTTTGGTGAAAAATTTTGAAACTTGGATTCGATTGGCTTATATAAACTAGGTCAAACTATTTTCGTCAGAGGTAACTTGACACGATGAAGATAGGCTATAGTGAAGAGGTTAGTGTCAAGTTATCTCTGAAGCTCAGGGTGCAAAGAGGACACTTAGCCTCAAAACACTGACTGCCATTGTCAATATCATAGCTATATTCAGAGGATGTGCCAGGCAATGCATCTACCTTGTTTGCCATTCCTACCAGATGATAATACGTCATATTTTGCATAGTTAGATGTCAGTTTCTTGTTCAGACTCTGCAAGTATCCTAGAAACTTAGATTCTTGGTAAGTTGCAGTTTTCGCAGCAGCACTAGTGGATTTCACAGTAGCACTAGACAATTTCTTACTATTTTTAGCCACTTGTTCATCTTTCGAGTCTTTCTTGGCTAGCTCACTTTTATCCGATATGTTGGAAAAATGATGAACTGTCAAAAAAGACAAAATACACCAAAATGTATTGAAAAAAAAGTCAAACACATACACACCAAGAGAGTTCTTGATAACCACGCCTCTTGCTACTGATGTGCATGCTTACTGTGCAATCTCATTTCATGACGAACCAATATAATTGTTCCATATAGAATTATTGTGTATAAATGCTCCCATTTGTGCTGAGCATTCTAAACACCAACATTCATATATTTCCTATAATACAGTAGTTTACTGTGTGTGTGTGTGTGTGTGTGTGTGTGTGTGTGTGTGTGTGTGTGAACTAAAAAGCAAAATCTTCACAAAACAGTGCAGCACACATTCTAAAATGGTCACACTACAGTGGAACCCTTTAAAAAATATATTACTTTGTGCTCTCCTTGCATTTCTGGATGGTGTTGTTGGTAAGTCACTTGAGGGTTTTTCTGTGGGTTGTGTATTAATCACATGTTGTTGTGTCTGTTGCTGTAGTTCTGAACTTTTCTCTCCACTTGCCAGGGTCTCATGGGCCTTTGTTGCTAGATACAAAAACAAGATCAGATAAAAAATTCTACGTATACCAAGTGCTGATAATCCTGGAAGTAATGCTGACATAAAGCAATAACATACTACTAAAGCGATAAAATTGAAAGTAGAGAGCCGAAATACTTGCCAGTTTTTTTTTTTTTTTTTTTNTGGCAACATTAAGGGTTCTTGCACCACAATGATCTAAACTTAGCTTCTGACACCTGGGCCAAGGCCAGTGACACTACTGGGACACAATATACCAATATTTTATTTTAATGGCTGGATTTCAGACTTAACAGATCAAAATAGTCTGCTAGGCAAGCTTTGCAGCTATGAAGCACCCCAAGGGCTCATTCCCAATAAAATTATCTGTCTACCTAGAATGTGGTTTTTAATGCCTTTGTGTGTAGGTGTTTGTATATCATGACTGATGTATGAACTGGGTACCTGGAGACCATTTTGTGGATGGCTTCTCTGCTTCTTTCCTGGGGGTAGAATGGCCAGCTGGTGGTACACTTGCTGCAGCTGTAGATGACCTTACCATTGTAGATGAGTGGTCAGCTCCAGGCACACTCACTGCTGCTGTGTTTGGTGGAACCTGTTTACTGTCTAGACACAAAGGCGAGGCAGTTGATGAAAATGCTACTGCTGCCATGCTTGATGCTTTGGTTGCAGGCTCTACAGACTGAATGCTGGGATTAGTGTCTGTAGAAGGTACGTTGACCACAACACATTTAAATATGCCAGAAGGCGTTTCGCTAGTGCATTTCGGTGCTATATTTCTAAAACGTGATATGTCAGGTAAAGTCCTGGACTGGACAGGTGGGGCTGGCAACAATACAGGCAACTTTGAAGCAGCTCTTTTCGTAGGTCGACCTTTACTTCTTCTCTTGTTGGCAGTCTTTTTATTTAGACCTAAAGTAGAAAATGTTTAACCATAAATACACACACACACACTAATAATAATCATAATAATAAACAGTAACTAACAAAGGCACATTAAATACCCCTACTCTGAGTTTCAAGGACATACCCTATGGGTATATGAGGATCTTGAGGAGGCATGTTTGTTTGAATGGATATTCAACCAATTATGGTGACCTGAAGTGATTGCGTCTCGTGCCACCTACCTCATCTTATGAGGGCACATTGTGAGCTCAGTTCTTTTATTCAATTTTGTTTTCTGCTTTGTTTTATCATCCAAACAAAGGTAACGTAGGCACCGATTTCTCTTTTGCATCATGTATTTTTTCACAATGTCATACCTAATTTCATAATTGATAATTTTACATTTCCATGTATAATTTTCTGCTTAGTTTCAGATGTTTCTGAACCATATCTATTAAATCTAAAATATTTTGTGGTTATTGAATCTTAGTTTGAATAGCCCTCCACAGTCTTTGTTAGTTTTAATTCAAAAATTAAAGGAAACTTATTTGTAAATTGAAGTATGATTGTAAGTATATGAGACAATTATAGGTGAGGAGATGAAATTAGAATACACAGTGCACATCAGGTTTTCAAGCATTTTTGGATGATATTTTTTATTAAACTTCACTTTTTGATAATAATCTGCATTGCTATTATCATAAGTTATGTAATTAAGGAGGGTGGGAGAGACTATTACTGCCTCATAGAATTACAATCAAACTTTAACTTACAGGCAAGTTATGTTTAATTTTTTAATTCTATATAAAGCAATTATGTTGGTTCATCATGAAATGAGACTTTAAAGCACAAGTCATGCAAAATAAAACATGAAATCTTGTTTAAATTCAAATCTTGTGTGTGTGTGTGTGTGTGTAAACTAAAAAGCAAAATCTTCACAAAACAGTGTAGCACACATTCTAAAATGGTCACACTACAGTGGAACCCTTTAAAAAATATATTACTTTGTGCTCTCCTTGCATTTCTGGATGGTGTTGTTGGTAAGTCACTTGAGGGTTTTTCGGTGGGTTGTGTATTAATCACATGTTGTTGTGTCTGTTGCTGTAGTTCTGAACTTTTCTCTCCACTTGCCAGGGTCTCATGGGCCTTTGTTGCTAGATACAAAAACAAGATCAGAAAAAAAATTCTACGTATACCAAGTGCTGATAATCCTGGAAGTAATGCTGACATAAAGCAATAACATACTACTAAAGCGATAAAATTGAAAGTAGAGAGCCGAAATACTTGCCAGTTTTTTTTTTTTTTTTTTCTGTGGCATACATGCTATCTGTACCATATAAATTTGCTAATCAGAGGATCAGGAAAGGCAAATGGATATTGTACAGGCAACACTATCATTTCTATGCAAAAAAATAACTGTGACTTACACTGTTGTGATTGCTCTTCAGTTCCTTGCTGGTTTTCATGAAAAGAGGCTCTTGGCTTATGGGCAAAATTAGGTCCATATTCTTTTTCTAAGAAGTCATTTTTATCTGAAAGTACAAGCAACATTTGAATAATCAAATATACAGCTGCAGGAAAAGAAGGCTGCAGTTTGCTGGGCACTGCACCTGCAGCTAAGACCAGCCAGTCTCCAAATTCATATTATAGACACCACCTGGGGAAAAGGCTAACAGAGGCAGACCAAATGTAACTCCCTTTGGCATCATCATGAATAATACTGGTTTATTTACCATGTCACATTTGCTTTAACATAACTCACCAATGCTAAAGAGCTTGAAGAGGGAATCAAAAACAGGATCATGTTTGGTCATCTCAATAACATCTGTTATGGCTTCACTAGGCAAATCTGCTTCCTGTAATGGCAAGTACTGGGGTTCAGTTGACATCATTGTAGTTTGATATGACTCACAGTCAAATAAGTTCTCAAGCAATAATCAGCATAGCTGAATCACTATCAATGACATAACAAACACAGCACTTCACTGAATTTTTCCATGAGAATTAATTTAACACTCTAGATCTGTGACTGTTACTTAATCATGAAAAGGCAAGACAAAATTGATAAGTTGGTAATTTAGGAGCTAAATCTTCCCTTACTGTAAAGAAATAAGATATTTATTGCACTTGTTTTTTATCTTTTGAGAGTTCGAACAAAGCACCCCTTTTGCCTTGAAAAGATATGTTCTAAGTCAAATTTTGATCAAAGACCCATGTCATTTGTCACGCCAGGCCCATGTGGGGGGTGGGGATTTGCTGTTAACTGAGGAAGACTGTGTGTAAAATGCTTGTTTACTTCAAGCAATACCCAGATACATTGTGGCCTTTCCCTGCAGCAGTATTCGTGCAAAAAATGCAACACACAGATATAATAGTTTGCAGTGTTATTAATGTCAAGATGATGGTAACCTGACAGTAAAATTAATATATTAAAGTATCTGAGTTTTATCTGAGGATCCGAGTTTTGTCACATTTGGGACAATCTATTTGAAGCTTTAGATAATTTAATCCTCAACTTTAATATACACTGCAAAATGCCTTTTTTTTTACTAATAATAGAACAAATATAAATGTCTTTTCAAACATCATCAGGTGGTGATAAATGTTGCAAAAATGAAGGGACAAGAATGATTTAATCAATTATCTAATTGAAAAGAATATTGGTTTTGCAAAAAAGAAAATGTAGAATTACAGACAAATGAGAATAATATACGATTAGGAATTGATCATCATCACATAAACATATCCTAACATTTATGTATTACATACGCTAAAATATATACCTTAAATTGAGAACATTATGAACCCCCCCCCCCTTTCACTCTAAGACCCATACTCAGTTTGATTTTGGAGTGGGTAAATTATATTTTCGGGTTTATTTGCCCCAAAGGACAAGTGCCTGAAAAGGAAGTACGTCAAGGCCAGTTGACTGCAACCACTTGTGCCAATTTGTGTTTTAATGAATTTTTGTCACACCCAATATATGGCAGACATTATCAGAGGTTCTAAATCATGTTCATGATGTACAAAATTACCCATACTTTGGTAAATGCATCAGCACACCATCCAGACAAGAGCAGTGCTATACTTACTGGCATGATTAAAAAGTCATCCAAAACATCAGGTGCTGGGGTCTGAGGTGTTGGTGGAGCATCTTGACCTTTGTACTTCACTTTGTTGATGTTTTCTGCCAGCTTTTGGTGAATCTCTGTATTAGAGAGTAGTTGTTCTAGAACATGCTAGAAGAAGAAAATATATGCCCATGGTTTATTGAACTCTTGGTCCAAGTATAAGGTAACAGTTATCAAAATATTACTCTGCACCATTGGTCAACAAAGTTGTCCCACCTCTAATTCCATCCACTTTTATTTACAAATGATCACCTCAGTGGTGTCAATATCTAGTGAAAAACCAATCTGTGGCCTTGGTAAAGGGTAGATAATAATTAAGACGAATAAAATGATCATGCAGAAAGATATCCCTTCTTGTTTACACTTTCACGGTTTCAGTTTCAACATCTAATACTGCTACTCATGTGAAAATGCACTGACAGACCCTAAACCCTTGTCATTGTAGATAATAAAAATGTAAATTTTCACAATTATAATATACAAGCATTTACGTTACATTAAGGGGAATACACAAGTCCCACTAGTATAAGAAGAAACTTTTAAAACTACAGTTTTAAAACTACTCTTCTTCAAATTTCTGGTTGTAAATTTGACCTACATATTTCCCTTTAAGTCTGTGAAGCACAGAAAGTAAACAGAAACATGTCAAAACAATTTTCAAGAAATAATGTAACAAAACTCTTTAATGTAGTTGTGTTTCTTAGTTTTACCATTGGACGCTATATGGTGGCATTTGTTCTGGTTTAGCAGCAACAACTTGACATAAATACTTGCTTAATATATGCCTCTTTAATCAGTGTTCACCTTAACCTATATACTCATGAACATACTGGAATATCAACAGCATCCTCTGCATTACAAAATTCCAAGCTGTTGTCTGAAGCCACTTGTCCATGGGTTTCTTTCTCCTTTAGGTTAGGAGGGTCACCCTTGGTTGTGGCTGGTACATTAAATGTCCTATCAGCTGTGGAAGACGATGACAGTTTTGCTGGTGACTCCTCTTGAATACTTCTCCTTTTAGGCTGAAGACTGATAGAAAAAATATATATATCACTGTAAATCTAAAAATGTCAACTGGTCAAATCACCCAAAAGGCCAAAACCATTGTGCCTTATCTTGGTACTTCCAACAAAATAATGCTACTGTATTTTCAAATATTGTACTCCCTAAGCTATCACCGTTTTGGTACATATAATTTGTTGAGGATAACAGGAAGAGGTCACTTTCATTTGTATTTTTTCAAAATAAAGTCTCTTATAATCAAATTTCTTTATATCTTACCATTTCCTTTTTGGTGATTTCCCAATACATTTTTCTTCTACAGCAATTTCTAACTTCTTTGGTGTTTGCAATACATCAAAATCATCATTTATCGCTGAAAACAATAATATAAAGTTTTAAGTTGATAACATCAATTTAATTAAAGAGATAACATATGTAGCCTAAATATTACATAATGACATGCTACTTCCTTGTGAACATAATCAGTCTGATTTTTTCAATACCTTTGCACAGTAAAAGGTGCGCGTGAATGTGTTCGTGCATGCAATAGATAGGTAAATAGAATGACTAATATACCAACCAGATTGTTGGTTATCTCTTATTCCCACCAGTGGATTCTGGCTATCAGATGAATCTATGACAGGTTTTACTGATTTCGACTCTTCTCTCTTTTGTGCCTGAGGCTCAGTTTTAACACGTAGAGTCTCATTATTGCTACAACTATGACTTGTTCTTATTTTAGTGGAACTAATGCAATGTTCAGATTGTGCCTTTTCTTCATGCCCAAGAACTTCAGTTTCAAAACAATTATCAGATCCTGTCATATCATGTAACTGACTGTGGCTCTGGTTCAAAATGTTTGGTGAACTGGAAGAAAACTGAACACCAAGGTGTCTTTGTTTCACATTCTTTGACAGCTGTTTGTTGATGCCTTCTTGTGTAATCACTTGTATGCCTGCATCTCTCAGGGTTGATAAATTAACTGGAAGTATATGCACTGGTTGCTTGTCTTCCAAAACCTGAGAAGCTGCCATTTTGGTGCTATCATAAAGATTATCCTGTTCATGTAAATTAGCATTTGGCTCTGTTTCATTTGTGTCATTTCTTATTGCACTATCAGAAATGCTTCTCTTGCAGTCACCATCATTATTCTTAGTCTTAGAGTCATGGGTGTTGCCACTGAGTGCAAAGGAGTTTTTCAAGGACTGTATCATACTTCCACGCCTTGATCTATGCGATTGTCCCATTACAGGGAGGCGCATCTGTGGGATATAGCACATCTTTAGTTCATGACACATAGACTCAAATGACTGCCAAACACTTGCAACTGGTTCAGGTATTCTGCAACCTAAAAAAATAAAATAATAATGCCTTCATGTTAATTTCAAAATGAAGTGAGGGTAGACTCCTTGTAACACATATAAACCACTTCTACTTAGTAACTAGTTTCTTATACAACTTAAAGATGCATATGGAGTCAATTTTTTTTTTTTTTTTGCCACAAAAACTGACCAAATGCCAGCAAATAGTTTCAAATAGTAGACTCACCCTTTAAGAAATGGACAGAAAATGGCTCTTTCAAATTTCAATGGGCATTGTAGAAAAAGTATGATATCACACCTACTAGTAAAGCTCTCAAATTTTACACATATATATAAATTACCAAAAGACACCAATGCCACAGAAACGTAGTGTAAAACCTACAATAAATGAAGAAATATTCAAAAAATGCTTTTCAAACAATTCTTCTTTGTCCATCACATTTACATTAAAAGGATATAACTTCAAAATGATCTTTTTTACATTTGCCAGAAAATCAGCTGCATTGTCGGACAACTGTTGGTCAAGATTTGGTTGTCTGAGCAGAAAATGTGGTTGCAGTGCGCAACCCTTATGTCAAGCCCTGTCTGTCCATTAGACAGCTCACCTTACAACTTCACCTGTCCAAACTGGACTTCTACCTGTAGAGTATAGGCACTTATGTTGAATTCTGATACTATAAACTTGCCATATACACCACATGACCTAAAAAGCACATATTTTTGATTCAAACTGTCTTTTTGCTGTTGACTTTCAGCTTCTTTACCTTTTGACTTGATCTTTGCATAGTCATCCAATATCTGGCTTAGAGTTTGTCCACCAATGTGGAGAGGGTATTCATGACCCCTACGGTATAATGAGGCATACTCTGCTAAGTAAGGGCACTCGGAGAGAAAAGTCTTAAAGGTGTTGAGGCTGCCCACTTCCTTCAGGTATCCTTCAAAAATAACATTAGAGCAAGTCATATTTATACAATTATTCTGAAATCTCTAAGATGGGAAACTTATCCTGATTTTAATTATATTTTTAAATTAAATAAAATAATACTTTCTAACTAAAAGTAAAAACATTTTTTCTAGCTGTTTATCAAACAAAAAATATAAAAAGGCAGCAAAGCTGTTTAATGTAGAGAGAAAAAGAATGAAAATTAAGATGTACAAAATAGGTTACTTTGTCAATTTTGATGCAATATTATATTATAATTCACAAAATCAACACCAAATTTTAAATAGAGGATCAGAGAAGCGATACCACCTCCGTATATTGTATCACTAGCTGGAGTAAGCGCATCCGAAATTCTAAACAAGATGGCGCTGGCTTGGGCTCTATTTTTATCTTTTACCTGGTGTTTACAGCAGTTCTGTCAGTGACAATCTTATCTTACTCAAAGGAGCAGCTTTTAGAACTACGACATGGAGCATCAGACTTTTTAATCTCGACACGTATGCAGAATTTGGACTCTACCCATCTCATTTTACCTTCATGTAGACATCACGAAGCTGTAAAAGGGGCAGAAGAGGGGGAAAGCTAGTAAGACAATGAAGAAAGAGACAAAAATTACCAGTACCAAGCATAATCCTGATAAAAGTTAAAAGCCTTTACAACCAAATAGCCAACTATAAGCTTTGGTGCAGCAACAATATCTGAAAACTTGTCAAGAAAAAAGATGAAGCCTATCCCAACAAAGAACAACACCCTGAACACTAGCAGAAGGCAAAAGCAGTTCTGCGATGGGCAATCAAGAACACCAAGAGAGACTCCAAAAATAAAATCGAGGAAAAGTTCAAGACCAATGACACAAAACAGCTGTGGTCAAATATGGCACTTCTCACTCAGGACAAGGGTCCAAAACACATACTGAACAATGATGACAAAACACTTCCCGACAAACTGAACCAATTTTATGCAAAATTTGACAGTAGCAACAACACTGACATAAAGTTGTTTCCACTTGATACTCATGCAGATGACCTGCCACCCTTTTCCATTCAGAAATGGCAAGTCCATTGTCTTTTTACGGGCTTTATCACACACAACGCATCTGGACCAGCAGTAGCTCACCAAGGCTTCTGAAGACACATGCAGCACAACTGGTGCATGTATTCACAGATATCTACAACCTATTGTTACGCTCTCAGGGAGTTCTGCATGCATGGCAGACAGGTATCATCATTCCTTTGCCTAAGTCCAAACCAATGTTTGAACTATCTCTGGCTAGTCGCGTTGACTCTAGTCCCGATGAAAATTATTGAAAAAAATGGTTTTATCATATATTAAAACCATTGTACCAGAGATGCTTGATCCTTTTCAATTTGCATATAGACACAATAGAAACATCGACGGTGCCCTCGGTATTTGCATACACAGCATTTTTGAACATGTGGACAAGAAAAGTACTAGTACACATAGGACCTTATTTATAGACTACAGCTTGGCTTTTAACACTATTATTCCACAAAAACTTTATTTTAAACTTTTTAATGGCATAAAATTTCCTATATTTTTATTCAATTGGACCTTAGATTTTTTATTAGACAGAAGTCAGGCTGTGAAGGTGGGTATAAGACAGAAGTCAGGCTGTGAAGGTGGGTATGAGACAAAAGTCAGGCTGTGAAGGCGGGTATTAGACATTAGTCAGGCTGTGAAGGTGGGTATGAGACAGAAGTCAGGCTGTGAAGGTGGGTATGAGACAGAAGTCAGGCTGTGAAGG